CATCTTCGGCAAGGATATTTTAGGAGGATCTGATCATCATTCCAGTGCATAATGAAAACAACGAACATCCAGCTAGACACACTCCCAAAGGCTAAAGCTAGTCACAATTGGAGATTCAATTGTGTTGTACTAATGCAATTAATCTCACTGGAAGATTACAGAAAGATCCCACTGTGAAAAAACACATCCAGGTTGGAAAACAACAGTTAAGTGACTTCTTTACCTGTGCTATTCTTTCTGTAAGAAAAATCTTTAAAGAACAAAATTTAAAAAATAATTAAATTATCTGTCTTTGGTGAGGTAGATATAAAATACTGTACTATTAATATAATACAGTTTTTAAAAAGTGAATTCTTCATTAATTTTATTTTTTGATAGTTTTTGTCAGAGTGTCAACAGTGGAATATTCTTAGTTCAAATTGAAACTAATTAAAAGTTATTTGAGGAACACAGTGAATAACAATGTTTAACATTTCACACCTCCTAGAATAGAAACTCAGGCAGCTGACAAACGGAGGGTGAAATGTTCATGATTTAGACTCTTCTAAATCACAGCAGAAACTAAAGTTTGCTTATGTAACTGACACAAACCCAGGATTCTACGCCGTCCAATCTTTACATTGGTCCAGTGCAGAGAAACGGAGCAGAGAACAAATCTTTTCTCTCTTGAGAAAAATGCCAGAGCTGGGAGTATATTTTAAACATCTTAACAAAGTCCCTTAAAATTACAATCCAGCTTTCTTCCACTCTCAGGCCAGTCCTGGCTGCCTTCCTATTTGCGCAGCCTCTGCACACAGTTCAGGCCTTTCTCTGAGCTAGCAAACCCAACCCCCAGTCATTGTCATTCACCCTGGTCTCCCTGGCAGGCAGCCGGTTTTGCAGATGGCAGTTACTGAGACTCTGCAGGGCACTCTCAGTTTGTCACAGGAGACTCCCTTTTCTTGGTTTGTGCCTGATCCAGGGACTGTGAAGAGCCAGCCAGAACAGTACTTTCCCATCAAAGCATTTCCTACATTATCCAAAGGACCAGGCCCAGCTATAATTTCTGGTCACTGGTGTCCTAGTTAGGGTTTCTATTGCTATGAAAAAGTGCCATGACTTTTTCATAAAAGTGTCCCCATGCAACTTGGGGACAAAAGGGTTTGTTTCAGCCTAGAGTTCTGCATGTAATAGTGCATTTTCAAAGAGAATACTGACAGGAACTTACACAGAGCAAGAACTCAAGGCTGGAGCTGTTACAGAGGCCATGGATAGGTGGTACTTACTGGCTTGCTCTGCCTGCTTTCTGGGTGCTAACTCAGAAGCATCATAACTGGCATCAGAAACATCAGATTCTAGAGCCGGGGAGATGGTTCAATGAGTAAAGTACTTGCTACACAAGAGGACCTGGGTTCAGATCATAAGCACCCACATAGACAGCTGGGCATAGCGCCCTGTGTTTGTAATCCCAGAGCTAGGGAGGTAGAGACAGATGAATCCATGCAGTTTGCTGACCTGCCAATCCAGCTTAATCCTGAGTTCCAGGTTTAGACCCTATTCCCAAGGAAGATGTGACTGGGCGTAGTGGTGCCCCAGAGGCAGAGGCAAATGGATCTCTTTGAGTTCAAAGCCAGCCTGGTCTACATAGTGAGATCCAGAACAGCCAAAAAAAGAAAGACAGTGAAGAATGATTGAGAAAGCTGGCCTCCAATTGCCCACACACACATACATGTGCACCTTCATGTACACACACATGCACACATGCACACACACCGACCCCATACATGAACATACAAAGAAATATCAAATTTTGGCTAGTCTGCAGCTTGCTGCCTAAGTAATCTTGAACACATCACAGGAAACTGATAAATTATTTCTCCAAAGGTGAAACGAGGCAATTCAAGCCAGATTAGTGTATATATAAAGGCAGGTTTATTGGGAAACTGCTCTAGGGAGAGTTCACTGGTCCCAAGGAACGAGACCAGGGAAGTCGCCATGGAAAGAAGGGAGACAGAGGGGCAGGGAAGAGAAAGAGAGAAAGCGTGCACAGAGAAAGGGAGAAAAGAAAGACGAGCAGAGGCCAGAATGTCTGGTTTATATAGGGAAGGGTCTCTGGGGGAGGGGAAGCCCAACCCCTGGGCTGGAAAGTAGAGGTGTTTTGGTAGGTAGGGACTGAGGGATCCTGGGAGGCCAGGTCCTCTTTGGTCTGTTAAATATTCACCCCAGCCTCTTGTCCTGGATCTGAATCCCAACAGTAACACCACCCTGCTGAGCTTTTGTGAGAGTGAAAAGGGAGACGACTGGACTCTCTCTCTGACTCCTTGATGGTTTCCTCTTCTGCTCTCGCTCTCAGAAAGGGAGAGCTTGTAACTAGATAGGACAGCCATGCCTACTGCTGTGAACCACAGCTCCAAGATTCGGAGGGCCGTGATGATTCGGAGAATCTGGTTTGTGTTTCATAGGAAGCACTGTGTGATCCGTTTTACCACAAAACTATCGGCTTGAAGTATATGGTTCAGAGCTTGTCTGTGTGTTTAGGGATGGTGGTGAATCTGATGGCACGTACCTGTAAACACAAACACTCACGGGCATGAGACAGGGGAATTCCAAGTTTGAGGTTAGCTTAGGGCATAGAGAAAGACTCTGTCTGAAAACAATAACAAAATAGAAATTTAAAGCCGGAGCATTTCCGACAAACCGTGAAAAAGGCAGATTCCTGGATAAGATTTGTGGGCCTGAAAAAAAAACCGTCAAGTTCATCGCAGCCAGCTCTCCGGCCACCATGTTCAGTTCCTCCGGATTTTATGCTGCACAGTGTCGGGTGCTGAGCTGGACTTTTGCTGAGCCCGCTTCCTGGGAATGCCCTGAGCTGAGGGGGTCCTAGGACTTCTAGGCTGGCTTGCTTGTGCTTCCAAAAATGAGGACCTGGGGACAGCAAATGGTTTCGGAGCCCCGGGAAGCAGCCCTTTTCAGAGAGGGCTCTGCCGCTGGGCCACCACTTTAATGACCGTTTGTTGCCACCTGCTGGCCGCCGGGCTGCTGCACAGCTCTCTACAATGGTGTTTCACGGGTTGAGAGGCACTGGGGTTCTTGGGAGCCCCATCAAAATATGGTGACCAATGTGGTGACACACGCCCTTTATCCCAGAACTAGGTGAGTTCAAGTCCAGTCTTGTCTACATAGCTAGTTCCAGGCTAAGCAGGGACCCCGTCTCAGTAAAATTAAATTAAAATGTGGGTGGGGATAGGCAGCACTAATTGGGTTGGGTTGTAATTTTGTTTAAAAGAATAGGGTGTGAATTTGGGAAGAAGATAGATGCAGGAGGTGTTGAGGGTGGGGGGTTGGGCGTAGGAATAACCTAAATACATATTATACATGCGTGAAATTATGTAACAGTATAATATGAAAATATAACAAAGAATAAACGTTGTAAAATGTGAGTGGGGATAGAAGTGACAGATCCACAGTAATCTGTTCATCAAACCATGAAACTCAGTGTGCTTTTGATTGCTTATATATCATTTTGTTTGATGTGCTTTTATAAATATATTCTCTTTCATTGATTCACTAGTCAATCATAAACACGTTGGAGGGACCCAGAATGGCACTGGGGTTAGTGCTAGGATGAGGGTCACATTCTCATTGTTTCCTCAAACAAAAGCATGCAGTACAATCTATCCTAGTCTTCTATTATTATTTTGATGCAGGTCTGACAATACCCTGGGCTGAGCTGGAATCAGTAATTCCCCTGCCTCAGCCTCTACAGTGGTGAGATTCCAGGCTGAGCTACCACACCCTGCCACTCTACTCTTGAATTATAATTTACTTCCACTTACCCACTCAGCAACAACGACTTACTGGCTTTCCATTCTCCTCAGGCTGAGGCAACAGCCAAGAGCAAAGAGACCCAGACGCTACTCTTCTCACTGTGAGGACTAGTGGAGGAGACAGATGTTGATCAACTGCAGAGTCATCACATCACGGTACAATGTGGTTCCAGGAAGAGAGGCCTCAGTGACCCCGCCAGTTCTAACTAGAGACTTCGGCTATTTGATATGCACTCAAGTTACTGAAGTCTGCTTTAGGGAGTGTATCCCAGTGGGGTGATCTGTATGTATAAAGATTTTCACTGCATGAATTTTTATACAAGCTAATGCACACAGAGATATAAAGAAAGCTTCCCAACTATTTAAAGATAAAGAGTTGCTTAAACAAATTATGGTATACTAAAAAAAAAAATTCTAAAGCCATTGGACATGAAAGAGTAGAGCTACATCGTTTGCGTAGGAAGAAATTTTATTAGTTACTTTGCAAGTTGTAGTAATAAATCTCACCTCTGGAAACATGTTTATGTCTCTTCCTGCTCCTGGCTACATAGTCACCGTTATTGGATCATTGTGATCTTCATACGAATATGTTGGGATTTCTCCTCTTGAAAAAAAAAAAAAGGCCCCACCCCAGCTTTTCCTCTATATCCCCCGCTGGCTCCCACACACCTCTTTGTCAGCTTTTGCAATGGTGCATCTCCAATTCTGCCCCTCTTAAATCTGCTCTGGCCAGGATGCTGTGGGTGTCAAAGGCACCAGTGGTCTCCGTGTTGCTGAGTCCCACACTAATGTCACGTTAGGTCCACCAGCAGTGCCAACACAGCCTCCCAGGGTCCTAACTCTCCCCTGCTCAGGTCCTTCTTCCGGCCCCCAAGAACTGCCCTGACTCTCCTTTCCCTCCTGGCCTCCCTTTTCCCAGTCTGCATTGCTCCACCCTCCTTCATCCTAAGCTTCATTTTCTTCTCAACCTACATTCATGCCTTTGACCTTATCCTGTGGAAGTGGAAGCTTTATCTATTTAATTTGTTTTAATATTAGCATTTAATTAACCCCTAAAGTGACTTTAAAAGCCACCAGAACACAGGCACCTCCAACACCATTAATCTTCTCTTCAGCTCTTCTGCTGAAGAGTTTGGCCTTCGCGATGACAGGTTGCTTAGGGAGCGTTCCCTCGCCCAGAACTTTGTAGTAGCCTCATCGAACAAGGTCAGTGACGGGAGCAGCCCCAGTCTTGTGTTTTGCAGCTTTGACCCGCGTCTGCTCGCTGACCAACGTCCATAATTTATTCAGGTTGACAGTTGGGCCGAAACTCTGCTTCTTCATCAAGTGGTAATGCCTCATACCAACTTTCCCGAAGTACCCTGGATGATATTTGTCAAAGTTGATCCTGTGGAGGTGCACGCCTGCAGCATTCCCGAGGCCTCCTGGGTGCTCGCGGTGCTTAGCGACGTGGCCGAGGCTGTAGCTCATGTGGCCCAGGAGTTTCCGGGTCTTCTTCCTCAGTCTGAATGGCATGGTGGTGGTGGAAAGGAAAGAGCTTAATTTGCTTTGTTTGTTTGTTTGTTTGTTTTGTTTTTCGAGACAGGGTTTCTCTGTATAGCCCTGGCTGTCCTGGAACTCACTCTGTAGACCAGGCTGGCCTCGAACTCAGAAATCTGCCTGCTTCTGCTAATTTGCTTTTTAAAAGCTTTTTTCTTTAAAATGTTTAATGTGCTGATTTGTGTCTGTTTACCTGAATATGTAAATGGACTGACTCATGTGGTAACACGAGTGTACAGGTCTGAAGACAACTTGCTTGGGTCAGTTTTTTTTTTTTCTTTCCTCCACATGGGTCCGGGGGATTGAACTGAGCCATTTCATTGGCCTCATTCATTCATTCATTCATTCATTCATTCATTCATTCATTCATTCGGTGCTGGAGAGGGAACCCAGTACTTGCTAGGCAAGCTCTCCACCAGGAGCCAGCCCATCCCCAGCCCTCACCTTTTTTCAGTCAGAGCAGTGGAAGCTCAAAGCCCTTGTTCCCTGTTTTTTATCCCTTACTCTTTGGAAACAGAAGCAGAAGACTCCAAATTGCCAGATTTGTTTCTCACCTGCTCTCATCTCTTCCTTGTCCCAACTTGTTAAGCAAGCCAGTTAACCCCACAGAGGGTCCCCGGGGCCCAACAGAGACATCTTACCCTTCTAGCCTCTGCCGGGATGAGTGGCACCCCATGGAAGCCCTGGCTTTGCTTAGTACATCCTGGATCCTTGAGTGACTATGAAGGAGTGTACCCCGTTACTTTATCCCCACTCAGAGACTCACAAAGGAAAACAAAACATGTATTGTGTGCAGCTATAAATTCTGGGGATTATTTGTACAGTAACTAGGGATGATTAACACACAATTTGGTCCTCTGTATTAGGACTCGTAATTAAAAATAAACTCTAGAGGTTGGAGAGATTACTCCGCCATCAAGAGCACTTGTTGTTTCTGCAGAGGACCCAGGTTTGGTTCCTTTCACTTAACTGATGGCCCACGATCATGTACAACTCCAATTGCAGGGGATGTGATGCTTTCTTCTGACTTCTGCAGGCACTAGGCACACACATGGTCCACAGACATACATGTACTCAAACTGCTCGTACACATAAAATAAAACAAATAAATCTAAATGGTGCTTTTTAAAGAAAAACAATTAAAAATAAAAACTAACTCTAAAATATATAGCATTGCAAAGGAAGGTAAGAAAACTGATATTGAAGACTCAACTGAGGTGAAAAGCCCCATACTAGAAAATTGTTTAATAAAATTGTTGTCCCCCATTTCTTGGTGAGCAAAGTGTCTATTGAAGTCTGTGCCTCTAGCAAAAAGATGGTGACACACAGAGAATCTCTCTGCTCAGGTTTCACTCGATAGAACTCAGTCATGGTCTCAGTATGGTTAAGAGACAGCTGGAAAGATTGAGTGGATGTTTTCCTAATTCCATAGTCACAGGGTTGCAGGAGGGAGAAAGTTGAATATTGTACCAGTTAACTGATACAATGTAAGCAGAAAAATATAACATATTTATATTTTATATTTATAACGTCGTAGCTCTGCCCTCTGTTCTGCAAGCCCCTTGTCTATTTGTTTGGACTCTGTGGAGCGAGATCATTTGACAGGACTGTCCTTAGGTTCAAGGTAAGAGACTTTGCTCAAGATCCAGCCCTGAAGGGACCAGGGTGTACAGGGAGCAGCAAGGCTGTCTTCAGATGACTGCTTTCTGCTGGGACCCACTCAAACTCTACAAAGAAGCCGAGTTTGGTTAAAAAAAAATGTTTCAGAGTGAACAATTGCAAGCTGCTCACTGCTGAGCAAATTCCGTTTGGGGGGATATTTTAAACAAAGGGCTTGAAATGCTGAACGGCTGTGCTCTCTGCTTCCCCGAGGGAGAGTAGGTTGAGGGGAGGCAGCAGGAAGCAGGAATCTGGAACAAATGCCACTGGGGTGGAAGACTTTTCCCACAAAGTGCTGCTGTAATAACAGGACATAGGAGGCTGCGGTGGGCCCAGCTAACAGCTCTGAGTGGGCTTGGTACTGCCTGCCAGAGATGAGGGGAGGGAATTAGGCACCTAGAGCCCCCATGGGAAACCAGTTCACAGAAAAAAAAATCTTTATTAAAAGCTGCATATGATCATATATGGAATTCTCTAGCATCCAATTCAACACCAGCCACTCTTTTAAAACTCATGCAGGCACAAAAGATGTCACATTCAGGCCTGTGACAGAATTTCATCCCACGTTTAGGGAGTGTACACTTGTGTGATTAAAGACAGTTACACAGTGGTGTCTATGCAAATCCATAGCCATCACTGAAATCATCTACAAAGTCTTTTGCTAATAATTGACTCATGGGCCAGTAAGATGACTTAGCCTGTAAAGGAGCTTGTCACCAAGCCTGATGACCTGAGTTTGATCCCCAGGACACACACAGTAGGAGAACCAACTTCTGAAAATTGTTCTGTATTCTACATAAACACCACGGCATATCACCACCACCCTCATATAAAACAAATAAATAAATGTGATTTAAAACCCCACATATAAGACTCGGGGTACTGTACACTGGTAGAGTTGCTTTAGCTATCTCTATTTAACCCATATTTAGCTAGCATGTGTGAGGTCAGGGTTTGATCTTCAACACAAAACAAAACGACAAGCCTCTGACTCATAATCTATGTAGACTTTCATACAGTTTACATTCTGACTCATGATCTATGTAGACTTTCATACATTTTACATCTAGTGTGAGCATAGTGATCATGTAAAATAAGGCACGTCTGTGGCCACAGAAGGCCCCTTGCTTTGAGGCTGTGGGCAGCTCAGCTGTCATGCAGACACAGGTGATGTAAGACAATAGCTGTAGAGTCAGCTGGCTTCCAAGGCCAGCAGCCAAGCTCCAGCCAGAGTGCCAGGGAGTAGGACAGACAGCGAGCTGCTGGAGGCCACAGCAGCGCCCACAGCCCATGGATCTCTCCACTGTCCTCCTGCTGCTTGGCCTCTGCTCTGGTAAGTCCCAGGGTTGGGTGGTCTCCTTTTAGGGTGAAACACTAATGTGCCCCCTGTCCTATACCCTGGTCTTGTTTGTTTGATGGGAACACAGGACACAGCCACACCAGCCAGTGACTTCTCTTTTAGTCATAGCTTGATATCGGCTGGAATGGAATCCTGAGGATAGATTCTTAGTTTGTTTTTCCCAGAGTGGGAGCTGCCTGGTCAAAGGCCACAAGCAAGAGGTCCTGGTTGCTCTGTTATCGCTTGGTCCCAGGCTCAGCCATGTGAACATCGGAGCACCACTTGTACAGTCTGAGCCGCTGGAAGACTATGCTACCATTCTGAAGTACCTTCATGTTCAGATGCCTAGCAGGCATGTCCAACACACAGCCGGAGGACTGTATGTGGCCAAAAAGATCTAGGAGTATATACCAATACAAAATCATAAACTTATTTAAACTTTGTTATTTTATTTTTTGATATTATTAGTAGTAGTAGAAGTAGTAGCAGTAGCAACTAGATTTCATAGTTTGGGTGTGAACTTTGTAGCCTATGGGCCTTTTGTCACTCTAGAATTTGTCTGAGAATGAAGAGGTTTGATTGGCAGCTACAGGTGCCAGGAAAGGAAACATGTTAACAAACTAAACTGTCTCTGCAAAGAAACTGTTTTGTTTTTTTGTTTTTTTTTTTTTTACTTCAGAGATTCGTTTTTTAAAGTCCATATAAATTGATCACTGCTACACTCCTACCCCACACCACTTTTTAAGGATCTTACTAATATGTAGGTTTTATGTTTGAGTTGTACTTATGAAACCTTGCACAGCCCTTGACCTACTCTCTACTCTGGAATGTGTCCCATCACAACAGCTGAAATGCCGTCCTGAGCCCCAGACTTCCGGGAGAGGGAAACAGGAGATGTGTGTTGATTACTTCCGATGAACTTACTGGTGATATCATCCCACTGAGGAGAAAGAAGGCCTAAAACCTGCAACTCTCCTCACTCTAACATTGCTCCAACAAACGCAGACAAGAGCAAAGAGCATAAAGCAAATATATTTGTTTTTTTTTTTTTCAATATCAGAGTTAAAGGAAATACCTACACTCAGATCAATTAATTGCTGAGGGATTTGAAGTTGATCCAACCAAAGCAAGACTTGGCATGTGCATGCATGCGTTAACAAACACAACACTCGGTGAAAACTTGTTTTTAAAAGTTTTTAAGGATCTTTTTTTATTTTGTGTGTATGAATGTTTTGCCTGCATGTACGTGCACCACATGTGTGCCTGGTGACTACAGAGGTCAGAAGAGGACCTCAGATTCCCTAGAATTGGAGTTACAGATACGCATGAGCCACTATGTGGGTACTGGGAATAGAATCTGGGTCCTCTGCAAAAGCAACAAGTGCTCTTAACTGCTGAGCCATCTCTCCAAGCCCCCTCAGTGAAAATTCTTAAGTGATGTGCTTCTCAAAAATGCCTACAAGACCTCTTAGAACAACAAAGTTCATGTGCAGCTGTTAAGAGAAGTCTGTGCTGCCTGTTTTGATCAAACCAAAATTTCCTGGCTTGATCCCACGAGTAGTCTGTAATAAGCAGAGGAAGCCCTGAGCAGGTGAAATCCTGGGTAAGTATGTGTGTTGACATGGGCGTGGCCACATCAAGAAACCCCAAAAGCCTCAGACCTATGGAGAAATAGAGAAGTTTTCTGGTGGCCATGTCAAGGACTCCAGAGCTTCCCACCCATGGAGGAATAGGAAAGCCTTCCCCCTGGGGTAAGTCTCAGAGGGAAATGGCAAAGTCTTCTTCTGGTTCATGTATGAATATTTGAAGTATATGTAGAAAATTTCCACCACAGTTTTCTGCCCTCTGGGTGTTATGGACTGATGACTACCTTTGCAGAGCTGTTCTCACTGAGATAGCTAACCTTGCCCCCTTGATCCAACTGTATATCATAAACCCTGCATTCTTGTTTAACCGTATGCGATAACCCTTCCTCCCT